GCTCCTGTTATTTATCTAAAGCTCCTGGATAAAATGCAAAGTAGAATAAGCAGTATTATTTGTCCGGATCTGGAGTCTTGGATTCAGCCATTTTTCCCACCGCCTTAAAGTTGCCTCCCTGTGCCTTTTCTATGAATAATTTCACGGTAACTGTTCGGATGAATTCTTCCCTATGGTAAATAGGCTTTTTGAATTTAAGCGCATTCCTAAACTTAGACTTTCGTGCAAGCTAAAGACCGGTGTTTCCCTTGACACCGCTATTATTTTAACTACCTGCACTCTTCCGTAATGTTTTTTTTTTTTTTTTTTTTTAAAGCGATGATTAGGTTTGGAATAAAACCTAAATATATAAAATCAATTTATACCTTTTCTTTGCCAACAAAATAATATTTATTTATTAGATTGTTTATTTAAACTATTTATTTATTAGGGCGTATATTGGGATAATTCTTAAGAAGAAAAATGTTTGAATTCACTTTCAACCTATGTTTAGGTTTTATTACAATTCTCATCATCGTTTTTTTCTTCTTTTTATTTTTTTTTTGCAGTCACGGTGGCACAAGTTTTCCAAAATTTTAATATTTTTAAAATCGGGCATTTTAAAAGTAAATGTTCATATAATATATTATAATTATTATTTTTGTTGTTGTTGTTGCTCTTGTTGTTGTTGTTGTTGTTGTTGTTGTTCTTCTTCTTCTTCTTCTTCTTCTTCTTCTTCTTCTTCTTCTATATACCGTGTCTCTTCAAGAAGTTGTTGATCTGGCTCTCCGTAGATTTCTGTCTTTCGTAACTCTAAATATATTAAAGCAGAGCAGCCAAAAGAACTAGGTTTAGAAAAAATAGCGTTCACGTTATATTAGTGATGTGTCACCATTTAACGAGGCAGAAAAAGAAAAGAAAGAAAAGAAGAAAAGAAGAGGCTAAGGACCGAATCGTAGATGATAAGCAGAACACACACACGGCTAAGAGACAATGGATAAGGATATTTTGATAAGTAACAAATGGCGAAAGGGTGTCATTACAATGACAGGGAAATTCTGAGTAAAAGAAAGGAAAGAAAGAAAGAATCAGATATGTTTTGGCGACGGCTGTGTTATCTAAGGATATGAAAACAAATTATTGGTACGGGAAGGCATCTTATTATCAACTACAGGCCGACTGGCCAAAGAAAAATTCAAATGAAAATGTTATTTCGATAAGTGACGAAAAACAGGCAACTAAAAGGACTTTGGATAGATAGGAAAAATTAATTGTATCAAAGCCACACACACGACTGTCCATTGACCGAATTCTTTCGACGGAACATCTTTATGCCTGCGATAATAAAATTATGTTATCAAGAAATGATGGGAATGAATGGGAATTTAGAAATGTCTTTTCGGGGCGACGTTGGCCGTGTTAAGAAGACCACCCATTCGGATAATTAGCGATAAAATACCTGACGAAAACCACGTGTAGAACAAGAGTTATGACCGCCATTGTTCATATTGTCCCGTTTGCGGCTAGAGAAATGATAACGGCGATTAAGAGGAAGAAAAAGAAAAGAAGGGATAATTTTTTTTAGTTAAGCAAGATATTTTTTTTTCTTCCGAAACAAAGCCGCGGATTCGTCCACGCCAGACTATGACATCATTGGTCAAGTGGTGATCACGTGACGCACGAAGGAGGAGGAAAGATAATTTTTTTTAGTTAAGCAAGAAATTTTTTTTTCCGAAACAAAGTCGCGGATTCGTTCACGCCCGACTAAGACATCATTGGTCAAGTGGTGATCACGTGACGCACGAAGGAGGCTGTCGCCGCCTCATCCAGAGTGTAGGTAAGAGAAGCTGCTACGAAGAAGTGGGGAGGGCAGTTCACGCCCTCTGAAGTATGGTGAGAAGGTGGGAGTGAGGAAAGGTTCCCAAAAATGGAAAAGAGTGGAAAATCCCTAACCAGAAATAAAAGAGGTGGATATGTATTTAGAATTATCGAGGAACCCCCGACGCCGACAGACCCACCCCGGTTTTGGTCGGCGTCCATATAAGCGAAGCTACAACGGGAAGAGATCAGTTCCAGCAGTTCCAGTGAGTTCAGTTCCAGAAAAGTTTGAGTTGAGTCTCCAGTTGAAGCCGCCTCGCAGATACTTGACCAAGATTCACGCAAATTCCGGACCCCTCTTCAACGCAAGAACAATTATTTTGAAGAGCGACTTAGATCCAGACCACCACAATAAGTTTTTTTTCGACTTTCGTCCAAAGACACACCGAAACACCAATTTCTTAGAGAGCAAACAACTTGAAGCGTTAAAACTTGCCTAACGGAAAACGACGTGTCACAATCCATAGAACGGGTCGGGAGATAGATGCAGTCCTATGTATCGAACAACTAGACATAAAGTTTGTTACTTTTTTCTTTGATACTTTGAACTTTTGAGTTTTCATTTTATTTTCTTTTATGCATATTTGTGTGGTATCACCCGCGTTGAACTCGGTTTGCATTACGGCCCCGACCACTGTTTGAT